CCTAATATAAAGCAGGCTAAAAGTTCTTATATTACATTTTTCAAGCATATACAATGCGGTTTATGCGACAACCATAACGATTTGCGTTACAAATTTTGACAATAAAATACGGTCTTATGTGCGATATCATATGCAGCTCATCGAGTTGTGATAAAACAAACGTTCCTATAAGTTTGTTAAAAATTGCGAAAAGTTTATGTTTTGAAAACGTGTACATATATTCGAAATAGTTGATGCAGCCGAAATATCAATATTACTGATATTAATAGGGAAATTTACTGATATTAATAAATTTAATTGGTTATTTTACATCCTTTAATAATTCCGACGTTATTTCGTCAAATGAGGTGCGCCCGAATTCTGTCTTTGTATTTGATAACGTAGCATGCGACAATCAAAATAAGATAAAAGAATACTTTTCAATGGGGCAATTTGAACATCGATTGCTTCTACTTCTGTCAAACGTACGAAAGAATAATTAAGCGTCTTATTCGTGATAATGCGGACCTGCTGATTTGTTTAAACTGGATGTACAAATTTAAAACATGTGAACAATCATGTTGATACTGACATGTTATAAGAGGATTTCTGTTTATTGTGTCTCAATTGTTGGCAACAAAATACGGATTCGTGGTAATAGATGAGAATAGGTCGCTTACTGATGGACGGTATAGAAAGGAATTTAACAAATACGCGATATTTTGAGATAATCAGTTGTTATTGAAACGCCAACAGTAAAATGCTTCAGATTTTTCCAAAAAAACATGACAACGATCGATAGTGGGAAATAAATTTGCGATCGCGTAAAAGTGAAAGGGATTGCAAAAAAAACGACTCGATACGTAAAAAATGTTGCGCTATGGAAACTGGTAGAATGGAGGAAAATATCACATTGAAGAAGCGTTTTAAATATATTTTCGAAATTCTGCGGAAAAATATCAAACACCTTATCAAAAATTCCAACTCACGTGTGATGAAGAATACGTCAACTGAAGATATAAAAAATGAAATATTATACTTGCATAGAAAGTAGTACATAAAGACAGGGCCGAGAAAGAGAAAACTAATAAACGATTTTCCAGAAACAATAAGCCAGAAAAAAAACGAATATATACACACACACACTCATACACACACACAACACACACACACAGATATATATATTTTTTACTTATTTATTTATTTATTTATGTATTTATTTATATTTATATTTATTTACTTATTTATTTATTTATGTATTTATTCGTAATAAATTGAAATTTCTTCAGATGTTTCTTCAGATGAATTACCTGCAGCAACATTTGTGACAACACCTTCACAAAAACACAAGGAGATAGGAAGGAAAAAAAATTAGCAGATGATTTTCCATATATGGATCGATCAAGAATAAAATCAACAACTACGAGGGTTGCTACTTATATTTCTGGCATAATAATGAAAAAACAAATATATATGATCAAAATTGGTTTTATTGTTTTTCAAAATATTCTCCATGATGATCAATAAACTTTTGCATGCATTTGAACCAATTTTCAAAGCACTTTTTCCACTCCGATTGAGGTAACTGCAAAACATGCGTTTTGAATGCATCAACCGCTACTTCGGGTGTCGAAAATCGTTGACCACGTAATATATTTTTTGATGTGCGGAAACAAAAAGTAGTCATTGGGTGCCAAATCAGGGCTGTACGGCGGATGACTTATCAATTCGATGTTCTGGCCTGTCAAAATTTCTTTTGTTTGACCTGATGTGTGAGAGCTCGCATTGTCATGATGAAGAATGATTCGCCTCTTCTTACGCTTTTCTCGAATTTCTTCGATGACTTCTGGCAAACAAATGGTCGTGTACCATTCAGAATTGACCGTCCTACGGTGCTCTAACGCCACTGTCGCCACGTGACCGATAATGCCGAAGAAACAGGCAACCATTTGCTTTGATACGCTTATTCCGCGAACAACTTTTGTTGGATTTGACTCGTCTTGGAAAAACCATACAGTTGATTGCTATTTTGTTTCGGGCTCATATGCATAGATCCATGATTCGTCACCTGTGTAGATGTTATACACAGCATTTGATGCACTTTGAACGTATTTTTTCAACATTTCCTTGAACCAATCAACACGAGTCTTCTTTTGAGCGTTTGTCAGTTTATGCGGGATCCAACGCGAATAAATTTTTTTTACTGACAAATGTTTATGCAATATCTTATTCATGCTTGTCATACTAATGCCCAAGGATGTCTCAATTTCACGGTATGTCACATGACGATCTTGCCTTATCAGTTCACGCAGCATCGACACAGCATCGATATTTTCTGGCACAACAATCAATTTTGGACGACCTTCACGGAATTCGTCCTGGAGCGAACGTCGGCCACTATTGAATTCGTTATACCAGTTTTTTACAGTGCTGTAGAATGATGCTTTCTCGCTGTATAAAGAATTAATTTCATCGATGCACTCTTTTCTTAATAATCCACGTCGAAAGTTATGAAAAATAATCGCACGAAAATGTTCACAAGTTAATTCCATTTGTTGCCCGACATTAATTTTTCAATTCACTATAAACAACACAAACCGCGCTCAAATGACAATGTGTTCTTATGTTCTTATGTTCAACAATGTCAAGTTTCCAATGACAACGTCAGATGGCGCCTGGCAACACTTACTGCTACCAAGGCCAGAAATATAAATAGCTACCTACGTACTTTATCGGATGTATTATCTACAATCGCATAAATCCATGTTTAACGTGTGAACTTACAGCCGATAAGGATGTTTTTGAAAGCAAAAACAAATATCCCAAGAAATCTATTCAATATGAATTGCATACATCGAGAGGTCGACTATCATTACAAAGTCAGTTGTTCTCGCTGGGTCAAAAATGCATCGTAGGTAGTTTGAGTAATGAGAAAGAGGAAAAGAGAAACGTAGATAACAGTTACGGAGTTATTTAGTCGAAGAAGGAGTGATGCTGGTAATAAATGTTTCGATGTAGACACAGATTATAATATAATTTTAAACGGAATAAAGTGCGCGGGAACATCTAGTTTTTACGAATTGATTTTCCAGAAATTTCCAGACTTTCTTTGTATATCGGAGAAGATCTGCAAAAGTATAAAAATTTATTGTTAATGACGAATGCACATAAACGAGGTCACATTACAACAATCCACTATTGAGTAAAGGGGAAAAAGTATAAACATATATTCAAATCTTTAGTATCCACAACATTAAACAAAAAACTGGAAAATGTTTACCGTATGCCCTGACAGTGTAAATAAAATCGTATATGTGCACTGGGACGATCCCAAGGAACTAGATCATCTGCGATTATTCGAAGCCGCAAGTCGAGCTGACAGTAATGAGCATGACAATGAAATTTTATCAAAGAACTTCGCGAAGCTGGTTTTATTATAAATTAAGCAGCGAGGCATTGACACAAATCAGTCAGTCGATACTGTTTGCGATGAAATAAATAAGTTTGGAACATCGCGAGAGAATAGTGACTCGAGAACAAATCAATCACATTAATGGAATTAATATGTTAAAAATTACGTACATGAAAATGTCCTTTGTCTGAACGCAGCCAAACATTTTAACGTAAAATTATGCAAGACGAAACGTGTAGCACAACTGAAAGCCGACAGTGACGTTGCGACCAAACGATATATGGAGGAGCGTGTGGCAAATTTAAAAAATCATTTTAACGATATTGCACGGAAACGATATGTGCAGGAAAATGCACTTTGTCTAACCACTGTTCGCTGAAAGGTTTTGATGTGAAAGGGATCAAGGTATAACATGTACTACAGCAGAAAGCCTTCAACTCTGCGTACAAAAATTATGTTGATGAGAATATCATACCTATAATGATTCTACAGAGTAATGCTGAGAACAAGAAATTTATGGAGGGAAATAAGAAGTTTACAGATGAGAATATTAAAAATGTTAGAAGATGAGAACAAGAAGTGTATGGATAAGAATATTAAAATTTTGAAAAATCTGCATGAAGAAATCAAAATGAAAAATATAATATAAAGAGAATAAATGAAAGGAATGAATGCTTTTCATCAAAACACCGACCTGATAATGCCAATAATATTAAAATTTTAGAAAACATAAATAATGGAATACTTACAATTAACCCTTTTCAGACGAGAGGCGACTCTTGGTCGCCACGGTGTTTCGCGCGGCAGAACGAGCAGTGGCGAGTGAGAGGCGATAGTTGGTATTTATGTTAGAATTTGTTACTTCCAACAGATAGGAACACACTATTGGTTTTTCAAAAGGTTCCTTAGCTGTTGATGTTCTTTCTACGAAGTGTGAAATGACACATCAAAATCGACCTCCAATTCTGACAAAATTCAATTAAACGGAAAGCTCCATGTAAAGACACTCGACACATCTGCGAAAATCGACTGGTCCTGCTACCTCACCCGGCCAAAAAGTCGTCGTCCGCAAAGGGTTAAATCAGTATAATACAGACATAAGCAAGAAAAGGATAATCGCGAGTTTTAATGGCGAAGGAATCGTCAAAAATTGAACATAAAGAAGAAATGTTCTGAAAAACAGCGGCTCACGGACGAATTACATGTTTCAGCGCGAAAGAATTTTCCACCCAGACGCAATGTTATGCGCGGATACGATGATCTATGACAGGATGAAGTAATTGAAATGCATCCTTATGCACGATTCAACAAAGGTCATCAATATATACTTACAGTTATCGATGTGCTAAGTAAGTATACATGTGCTGTACTGCTAAAGAATAAAGGTAGAAATGGGATAGCTAGAACTATCGCAAAGATAATTCGAGACGACCGTACATGCCCGAAGAATCTTCAAACCGACCACGGCAAGGAATTTCACAACGCTGATGTGTAAAATCTGGTGAATAAGCACAGTATTTATCATTACTCAACGTATTCCGTCATATAAACAGAGGTTATCATGAAGGCCTCTGTCGTGGAATGATTCAATCGTACGTTAAAGAATGATATGTGGAAAGTTTTTACATTGAATGGAACCTACAAATGGATTAACATATGTCCGCGTCTTGTATCGGAGTACAACAGACACAAGCACCAGACCATCAATATGCGTCCAGTCGATGTGACCTCTGCTATTGTTGAGAAACTTCTAAGTACGGTGAAGTGCAATGTAAAGATTACAACTCCAGCGAGATTCAAGGTGGGTAACTCTTTACGCGTGAGCAAATTCAAATCATTTTTGATAAAGGTTACACCCCAAATTGGACCATTGAGGAGTTTAAGATAGCCAAAGTACAGGCAACTAATCCGGTGATTTACCTGCTCGAGGATTCCCGCAAATATCCGGTCGCCGGAGGATTCTACGAGTACGAATTGCATCGCGTTGCTAATCCTTATGTATATCTCGTAGAAAAGATGTTGCGGAAAAATGGTAACAAGGTTTATATGAAATGATTGGGATTTAACAATTTTCGTGGATAAACAAGGATAATTTATTATAATCATTTATTTTATTGTCATATTATATGAAATTTATATTACATAAAAAATTATTATATTAAAAAATATACATATGCCTGTATAAACTCTTAATACATATGCCTGTATAAACTCTTTTTGCTTTTTATTTATAATAGTATTTTTTAATGTCCCCATGGTAACGTATCGATCGAATCAGGTACGATATACCGCTTGTTATAATACGGACTTAGAGCAATTTTCGTTTCGGACACCGCATAGACTTCATACAGTTTCGATTTTATACATAATTGTCGACGACTCTTTTCAACTTCTTCTCTTAAGAATTGCGTATCGTCGAAAGTTATCTTTCGCATTATGACATTTCTCTTGACGCCTTTTATTTTTTTTTTGTGTCTTTCTTACTCTCAACTATCAGTGTGTCATACCTCTTCGCTTTAACTCCAATGAATTCCGTCATGATTGTCCCATGATTTTTATTCTTCATCAAACCCAGAACCTTTTTATTTACAAGCGGTATACCGCGTTGTAAGCAGAATAATCGCTGGTATTGAATCTAGCAATATCGTGTTTTATATGCTCGTAAATATCGTCGCATTGAATATAGTAAATTAGGCTATCGGTATCGGTGAATATTATTTTACATTTCTCACGATGCAAAGAAGACATTTATTAGTGATGAAATTCAAACAAACAAACATCTTTAATATGTCAAGAATACTCATATCCACATAGATAGACTTGTTGAATTTCACATCAAATTTTTGCAATTCAACGACAATCAAATTTTCTGAAGAAACGCTTCTACTATAAAAATTCGGTTTCGCGATCATTGCCTCAGCACTACACCAACCCATTTTATTAAAAGTTTCAGGTCTACGTGATTTTGAACATTTTTCATTGTTTTGCCAAATACTGCGTTCTTTATCAATTTGTAAAAATTTTTCTCAAAATTACTTGTCGCGTGTGTTCTAAATTATGTATTTAATTTGATAAAATCGCGAAGCCATGGAGTTTGAACGAATTGGAGTGTATGGTGTACTTTTTTAATACGAAGACCCTGACGTGTGCACTTTTATAGGTTGCGGTAATAGATAATATAACGCTGTTTAATGTTACGGATACTCTAAGTCGACTTCGAGAATGTAACCTATGGGTGAATCTAGCGCGATTGAAAATAAGTAGATGAGAAACGGTTTCTAACTCAGGAACTCCGAAGAGAGTGCGGTGTAGGAGGGTTCCGGACAGCGTGGGACTGACGTCACGCGGGGAAGTGGAAATTTGTAGGCGTGGGTGCTAACGTCACGAAGGGGCTGACGTTACACGCGTGGGGACTGATGTTATGTACTGTGTTACCGACGGTATGTCTGTATTATTGTATTACCATCCTTACTCCCCTCCAGCGGTCGGTATGTTTGTATTATTGTATAACCATCCTTACTCCCCTCCAGCGATATAATAAACTGAAACTGAGGTATTTGATGTCCTCGTTGGGTCACAGGCTAGCGCAATCGTTCATTTCTCGACAATCTGCCACATGAATCTTCAGTTTTTCATCCGAATTGAAATAGTGTAAACACCTGCAGAAATATTTTTTGACTTCTTTAACAAGAGATAATTTCAGTAATTTTATGAAATATTTTCTAATTTTATACGTACAAAGCACATATATATTTCTTGTTTTTTTTCCTGTTTAGTTGCGAACGCGAGTCGGGATAAGTTCTTTATCCAAATAAAGCATCCAACGCTGTTATCTTGCGAATTTGGCATGTACAATATTTTGACGTGTTTGTCTATTGTTCGGTCCGTAAGACGTATTAGAAAAATGATGAGTCTTGTTTTATTTTCCGTCTTCTTTTCGACGTTGTACACATTGATAGATATATTGTTCAATCGTTCGAATTTTGTTATTTGTTTCACAGGCATTAGAAATTCAATGTTCTGTACATTTAATACTGATTTATAATGTGGATACGAAAATACGTGGTTTGCATTTCTTTCGGTTAGATATAAAGACCATAATGCGATCATTGCCCACGTGAAACACGTATTGTCCATGGATTGCACGTTGATTACTACTTTTTTCTATTATATCTCACGCGGCAATTCGAAATGACAGCCCGCATGCATCTGATGGTAATTATTTACTATGACGGTCAGATCAAATATTCTAAAAAATGTCCTTCCGCTGTCGCGTTCCAAGAGTTCTTCCAAAGACGCTAAAGTGGGTTTGATCAGGCATCGCTCGTACCACTCTTCTAAATCAGATGTGGAAAAGATTTTACAATTTCTCATATTGATACTTTTGGCTGCGCGTTTATCACACGCAACAAACTCTCCATTAAACTCAGTGTTCACTTTGAGAGTCCTGTGCCTCTCCCTAGCGTTTCGCATATGTTCGAACACAATGTTCTCTGCATCTCGGAGAAATCGTAGATGTTTGATATAATTTGAGTTTATAATCACACCGTTTAATACGCGGCTATGGAAGGTGGTATCGATTTCTCACCACAAGAGTTCTTCACTAGAATGTCCGGCACCCGCATGCATAAAACGTGTACGCAATGAGTTTATAGACCCTCGAATCGCGCAATATAAGCGATCAACGAATGCACTGAACCAACTGAAAATCGTGGTTTTTTTAGTGGGCTATGCTCCTCCAACGACTCGAGGCACTCATTGCATCGTTCCTCCCACGCATAGTACTTGTCTTGCGAACTCAATCGAGTAGACTGGTCCCACAGTTTACGTACAATTTGCGCAAGTTCTTACATTTTTCCGCTGCGTACTTCGGAATATTCTTTCAGTCCACTTATCAAACCACTTTCTTCGTGCATATGGAACATATATTGCATGGTATTATTTGAAATAGTGGGTTTCTGCAATCGGGGCAACACATACTATCTATCGCATTATGTTTCTCAGTCAGATGCCTCCGATTGGCACACGTATAGTCGAACAAGTCAGTTACTCTAAGAATACACAAAGCGAATAATATTAAATTACCTCCTGTAGAGTAGTAAAAATATCTACAACACATTTTGGTCTGTCCATTGAACGCATTGATTCTTGAATTCACTATTACTTTGTTACATTCTTTTGAACTTGATCGCTAGCTTCGCTGATATAGTTACTATTATCGGTAAAACTGATCTTCGTCAAATTCTATGTCCATTATTGCTTCAAAATTGTTGTTCTCCATCACCGCAAACTCTTCTTCATCTTAAATCTTCGCAATAGTCCATATTCGCTATGTAGTATGATACATTAGTATTAGTCCTGACACGCGTAGCGTTCCACAACATGCGACTTTGGTCTTTAAGCTATACGCTACCAAACATCAGTTCTATCTTTCCAGCTTTGGCAACGACTGACAAGAAAGCAGGCAATAGAAAAATTCAGCAGCGCATGAGGACGTACTTCGCAGTATAAGCAGTTCGGCCGTGACCCGTGCGCGACTCCTAACCCTCCTATCGCGCGCGGGATTTGCGGTAAACCGGTAGCCCCCAAGCGGCCTGCGCACGTGCCACGCCCACGGGAACCACGGGGAGGACTGCCCATTTGTGTCCCGATCCTGGAAACACGCTCAGACTCTATTGATTCAATTTATATTTCGGTCAGGAAATAATATGAGGTATTCTATATGAAGTGGGATATGACTAGATGTAAGGATGAAATATCCTGCTCACCAGCCAATGGATAAGATCCTACTTAATAAGGAAGCTAAATCCTAGCTAATAACCCAGCTAAGACCGTCTAAACAACCCGGGCGTGATGATCTCGGGAAGCTTACGAGACCACACCCCCATAACCGAGGTCTCCGACATCTCTCGGCCTAGTTGTTCCGAATATCTAACAGCCCCCTTTTAGCCAAAGGGTCTCCCTATAAAAGTCTGCAAAGACCGAGAAAGCCTCTAGAGACGACACCAAGAAACGTGTTGCCGCCGGCTATTCCCGAGCTCCGACCGGAACTACTCGCGAGGTCTGCCTTCTTAATCCTAACCGTTTTCTGCTTACTGTCGGGACGCGCTTCTCCCCGTCTGCTTATTAGAGCCCTTTTGATGAGGTCGCTCCTGAGGAGAATTGTCTTAGTCTTGCGTGATGAAAGTTCAAGTTTGGCAAAGTTGCACCTTTTCTCTATATCGTCGCCTATCTCCTGCACTTGCACTTCTATTCCTCTGCGGGAATCACCGCTTACTAATACGAAAAGATCGTTCTCGTACACAAAGAATTTTTCGCCTACCCTAGTCTCCAACAATCTAAGTAGGCCATCAAATATGAAGTTTCGGTATGTTGGACCTAACACCGAGCTATGCAGGCAACCTCAAGTGGCATGATTCGAGACCGTTACAACTCCGAAGGAGGGAGAGGCTTTCCTATCCTGGAAGTAGTCGACTAGCACTTTGAAGATATTAAGGGGACAATTACTATTTTTGAATGCTGACAGAACGAGGTGCCATCAGACATTGTCAAATGCGTCCGAGATGTCGAAGAGCAGCGAAATAACGTACCTCTGTTCAGAGGCAGAGACCATTCGTCGGAGCTTCATAACAGCGTCCTCCGTCGACTTTCCTGGCATGAAGCCGAACTGCCAAACGGAGATTCCCGGCGAGAGTGACGTCTGTTTGAATTGATTCAAAAGAAATTTTTTGAAGAGATTTCCTATTACAGAAAGGAGACAGGTAGGCCCGCTGGATTTGAGGTCTTCCACGTCCTTGTCATCGCCTTTCAGGACGACTCTGAGTGAGCCATCCTTCCAGATCGAGAGGAAGACGCCCCACTGAAGGCACTCATTGGAAAGCCTGAAGAACTGACCGGAGAATGCCCTGTAGGCGACCCTGAACGCTGAAACCTCGATGAGATCCAGCCCTGCAGCCTCGTGGTTTGCCAAGGATCTGACAGATCTGCTTTAATTACTGCACCCGTGAAGATATTCTCATCGGCAGTGTCAGGAACGTTGTGAACGTTGTCTCTGG